ATTATATTATAATTTATGTAATTAATTTATATCAGCACATAATAAGAATCAGACACGTTTAACTTATTTGCCAAATCAATAATAACAATAATAATTTTTAAATGTAACTTAAAATGTATTAGTTTAAGGTAAAAGTAAGCGCTAGTCTAACTTTATCTGTCTCATATATACAGGGAAACAGATGTTGCAATAATGCCGGTGTTTATATTAGGTGAATTAAGCGTCGAGTTTGATCCAAACGACTATGGTCTAAAGGACAATCCCGCCTACAAGACATTTGTGAACGCCGCCTGTTATTTCTGTGGCATTATTAACGAACTCTACTCCGTTAAAGCAGAGGTGTTTAAAGGGGGCGACATTCGCCACGAATACCTCTACCTGATTATGGTATGGGAGGGCTGTTCAGCACAAACCGCTGCCGACCGTATTGTGTCCGAAGCAAAAGTTGCCTACAATAGAGTACTTGATTATGGTAAACAATTGAACATGTTTAATATACCCGCACTGGACCGGTATGTCACGGAGGCTATCCGTATCTGCGATGGCAATCATTACTGGTCGACAATATGCGAGAGATATAACTCGTGGAATATATAGAAGTTGGTAGTAAATGTTAAATTAATTTAATGGTGGGCAAGTTTTTAGATATTAATTGTGGCGTTTGTAGGGTTAAATAATTGTGGAGGTAAAGTTATTAGTAACATGTTATTTTATTCATTTTGATTTTTAATTTTATATTTAATTTTTACTAATCTTATTAATAAATATGTTTTTTGAAAATTAAAAGTTATACTGTTGTATTGCTTATTAACTTCTGTTATATTATTTTAAAATATATTAATATTACTAAACAAATTACATGGAATTATTGCAAGTATTTATTTTATTATGAGCTAAATATTACTAAATAGTATTTGTTTGTTTGTGGTTAGAATTTTGGATAACTGTCATATTTGTAATTAACTGTTATAATTTTTATAATATATTGTTTTTGTAAAAGTTTATAGTTTATTTAATATGTATTATAAAATTAACTATAATTCAAACAAATTACTAAAGAATAATCTGTTTTTATATTTATAAATATTTACGAATAAATACATGTTCATGTAAATTATAATAAACATATTACTAATAAATAAGTAATTATGTTTATTAAATAAGTAATACTAATAAAACAGATTTATATGAGTTATATGTAAAAATAAAATAAAAAACAAATGTATATAGAAACAAATGTCATTCATAAAAACAAGACAATATTCAAAATTCAACATAATAATTATTGAATCGCAAAATGTCGACCATGTACAATTTCACGGGACGGGTAGCGCTGATAACGGGTTCGAGTTCGGGCATCGGTGCGGCCACAGCTATACTACTGGCCAAAGCAGGCGCCCGAGTGGTCATCACTGGACGTAATTATCAAAAACTCGCAGCAGTTTATAAACAGTGTGCGGATGTGTCGCCCCATAAATGCCGTCCAGCGGTTCAAGTGGTGGCCGACGTGACCAATGAGGCCGATATGGACCGACTTCTGGCCATTACTATCGATACTTTTGGCAAATTAGATATTCTGGTCAATAACGTAGGGTTTTTGCAGTCGGCACTCATAGATAGCAATGATTATATGAAAAACTTCCGGTCAGTTATGGACACAAATCTCGATTCAATTGTCTATTTAACGCATAAATCGGTACAATATTTGGCCAAAACTAATGGATCCATAATTAATATGTCCAGTATTTTGGCAAAAATAACAGTAAGATATTAATAGTTTACAGCAGCATAAAACTTATATAACCATGATAATTTACCAATTATATTTTATCATGATCAGTGCACACCCTTATCATCATATTGCATGTCAAAGGCAGCACTCGATATGTTTACCAAATGCCTGGCCGTCGAGTTGGGCCCGAAAGGCATCCGTGTCAATTCAGTCAAGTAAGAATTATTTCACTATCATCATCAAATAATTAATTTCTACTATTTTTATCATTATATATTTACCACGACTACTATAGTCCGGGCAGTATTTATACCGATTTACTCGAGAATGGCTTTGGTATTACGGGGGCCGAGAGTAGAGCCCTGTTTGATAAAGTTGCCGCCAACTATCCGGTTGGACGAATGGGCGAGGGTTTGGATGTGGCCAATGCCGTGGCCTATCTGGCCAGTGATCAGGGTAGCTTTATCACAGGCACCCACCTTTACGTAGACGGTGGTCATATCGCCGCTAATATTTCTATTGAGTTATAAAATTAATGCTTTATATTGCAATATAATTTAAGTAAGTCTTTATTACTCCAAAATTTTATGTTTTAAAGACATTATATTTTATGTGTCTTAAAGAATAATTATTAAGTTATTAAGCTTAATTATTCTTTATGTAATGCATATGTTACTATTCTTACAGCTTCAATAATTGTGTCTATTATATTCATTATGTGTATTATTTTTATAGATTATTGTCATAATTTTAATAAAACTAAAACATATAATATATTTTCAAATTATGATGTTTTTATTATAATAATATCTTTTAGATAAGTAGATAATAAATATAATATCTACTGTATACAGTCTGCAGTAAATTACAGTCTGCACCGCCTATAAGAGAATCAATCGTGCACTCAAAACTTTTCTCTTATATGCGGTTTTCTTCTATACCCGGTATTAGATTTTTAAAACATTAAATTTTTTAAAGGTATTTATTGACAGTAATTACTTTGAAATTGACATATAATCGGTGATTTACATTTATTTTAATGATTTAGATGTATTTTCATTCAATATAATCTATTTCTACACTTGTGGTCAACATTTAGCAACAAAAATAATGGTCGGATTTTTATTACACTATAAAACAATTGTAACAATGTTTACAACATATGATTCTAAATTAAGTGTCGCCTTAGAACATACTAATTTTTAAAACACGACAAAAATTAATGCATCAATGTTTGAAAATTGAATGAAATGGCGTTTTCACCCAAATTTTCTTATATGTGGACATGTTTAACATTATGCGTGCATTACTTTCTGTCTCTTATAAGCGGTATTCCCTTATTAGCGATTCTTTTATTAGTGGTGTACTTATCATTATAAGTCCATAAGAGCTGCCGGTGCAGCAAAAATAGTCTACTATAGCCGGTATTCCATTATATGTAGAACCACTATAAGAGATGCAAACTGTAATATCTATAAATAATTATTATTCATATAACATAACATAATAATTATTAGATTATTATTAGATTAGATTAAATATTTATATATTATTGTATCATATTAAATTGCAAAAGTAATTATATAGTATAGTTAGTAATAGTCCATTAGTAATTAAAATAATTATATTTTATAACAAGACTTAAATAATTGTATTTGTTATTCAAACATGAAGTGGTCGTCGAGTCAACCCATACCCCCTGAATGGCGTGTCGAGGAGGCGGACAGTCATCTCTACAGAATTGGGTTATCCCTATTTAACCCCGATTTTACTGTTTATAAGAGAAAGAAAACATTTAATCCTATTATAATATTTACTGTTAGTTTAATAATGTTGCTCAAAAACATAATATGCGTACTGTTATACTTTAATTCAAATAATACATCTGAAATATACCATTTGTATCTTGGTAATTTAGATTATTTTACAAACACGAAATTTTTTATAAATTATATTGTTGGTTTGAATACTATATTTGTTATTTTATCGCAAATTAATAATTACTATAACTATAAACGTGGTGTAAATTCTGGCGATTTACGTGTGTTTAGTGTAATCGCCGGCCGATTGGCGTCCAATTGTATTGGTATTACTGATAGAGATTTGGCCATAAAATTATGTAATATTTGCCGTCGATTACTGTATTTGTGCCGCATTTGTGAAATTATTTGCACACTTGCTGCATTTTGTTATTCATTTCTGATATTTTATTTGTCAAACGATTTAGTTATGTTTATAATCATTGCAATGCCCCATGTCGTTTTCTATAGCGTATGTCTTAATTNCACACTTGCTGCATTTTGTTATTCATTTCTGATATTTTATTTGTCAAACGATTTAGTTATGTTTATAATCATTGCAATGCCCCATGTCGTTTTCTATAGCGTATGTCTTAATTATTCAAGTCGTATAATAATCTATCAGATAGTATATTACATATTCATAGCCTATTATTTAACGGCAAAAATTCGTGTAATAAATACACAAATTAAGGAAAAAGTCACAATTATTTGTAGAAATTTAAGCATTTTTAATCAAATATATGCTGAGATCAATCATTATAACAAAACGTACTGGTGCAAGTTTCTATGCATCATATGGCTCACGTTCAGCACTACTATAAGTTTTTTGATATATTTATCTGTGTTTGCCCATGCTACATTAGTTATTAAGTTAATGACGTTCAGTGCTTTTTTAGTTTATTCGTTATTTTTGTTGCTTATAATCCATATCTCGTCCACACTTTATAATGAGGCGAATATTACTTACAATTTGTTGAATTCATTTATAACTAAACCAAAAAGAATATCGTATATAATTAAATTCAAGGTAATATTATCTCTCTCTCTCTCTCTCTTTCTCGTAATTAATTTTTTATGTTAATAATTAATAATTCGTAAATAAATGACTGCTGAAAATGCAATGATCTGTAAAAGTAAAATATTTATAAAGTTTG